TCTGCTCATCGCCAAATTCGTTCCTGAACCTCGCAGGCAGCCAGGACGACGACTCCCGCCCGCTCAGGTCCAAAGGCTGGGACCGGGACTGACAGAAGAGCATTCGAGAGTGAGTGCAGCTCTGGGGCTTCTCGCAGGCTTGTGTATCTTACCACTAAGGTGCTGCAGGCGGGTTGTCTCGCAGATCTCTCAGGACCCCCAAATCTGTTTGTTTGTTCCAAACTAGGAATCAATGCAGTGACTTAGTGACGGTGAGGAGATGGTGGTGATGATGGCAATGGCGCGATGATAATCCCGATAACTCTTTCAGCGCTTTCCCGGCAAATTTGTGAGTGCAAGATGGAGCTTTTTAAGGCCTGCTGCCCGCCATCGGCGTGGGCGCCGCAGTCTACTGGATCACTGGTATCGCCTCGGTGACAACTCTGGGCCTGGTGGGGCAGCCCAGGGAGAGACTGAGTCGAGTTCTGCTGATGTCGAGAACGCTCAGGTCGGGATTGGTGCTGGCGTTGGGTATGGCGTCGGCAGGCCTTCTGCAGGGAGTTTCAGGTCAACATATGACATGGCCGGAACTTGTCCTTCTTTCTTGCATTCCGTCAGTGGTATCGTCGTCGTCGATCACTGGAACATCGTAGCACAGCCGACGAAACCCCTGGTCACAGCTGGATCGCCGACAAGATGCAGAAGAAAGGAGACGCCCAGAACAAAGTGTCGGTGGCTGAGCAGTGGCTTGTGGCTGTGTGTCTGTACCGTTCCGAGGTCCAAGCCAACTTCTTCATCCATAATTGTCTGCCGACTAGAGAATCCAAGATGTTGAGAAGAGACCGCAACGGTCGCGAAGATGCAGTGCCAAGATCATTGGCGTTGTGAGCCAACACAACCTTGGACGCCCCACCTGTTGAAGCCGTCGTCGGAGTCGCATCCACTAAATGACAGGGTGAGCATTATCCTCTTGGCATCGGCTGACCTGCATGAGATGTCTGCAGAAGTGATGCTCCGTATAAAGACTTACTTTGAGAATCTTTGAGGTGCTGTTGCATTCTCCAGGCTAGGGGCAAACCGGGGGTTAAGACTTTGCAGGTCAGGAGCTGAAGCTTTCAGCAAGTTTCTTCGAACGTTGAAACGCCAGAACGAGTAAAGTTGGCTTGGCGTGCCTCATCTTGCGACGCTTCGAGTATGGCGCGAAGCTGTACAGACATCAGTTGCTATGTCAGAGCTGTGTCGTGTATCTCAGGCAGATGGATCAGCTCCCATGGGCGGTCCAGGTGCGCTTCGAGATCGGGATCAGAGCTCGGGAGCTGCTCGGAGTCTCGGGAGCTGTTCAGAGTCAACTTGGCTTCGGCTTGAACAGGAGATACCAATGCCACTAGTTGCAATCCTGTTTTAGGCACCCGAGCCTAGGACCGGTCACGAAACCATCATGCATGCAGCACTCCCATCGGCAGCGACTCAAAGGTAATCAATATCACAGAACAGAAGTGCATGGTGCAGAATGGACCTTTGGCAGGTAGCCCTTCAGCACTGGCAGGACTGTCCCTGATGCTTGGGGGTCAGAGAGAGCGAGAGGGTAGCATGGAGTCTTTACTTTGCGAGTCTTTTCCGGTGGTTTCCCTTATGTTTTCATCTTCTTTCAGGAATACCAGCTGCCTTGGTGGTGTGTGCACGTAATCTCACTGACGCGCGCAGGCAGAGGGAAACCTCTGCCCACAGCCCCGGCGAAAGAAAGGGTAGCCATTTGGACTCCAGTACTGCACCTTTGCTTGGGGGCATGTTACGCCTCCTTGCATTCGGGGGGGAGGCACGGGGCCCGAGGTTGTGGAGTAGCAGCAGCACACATGTGTCCGAAGGGACATGTAAAAGAAGTCGCTGAGCAGCTGTGATGCTCGAGCGACGAAGGTTTTCTTCTTGTATCGCAGTGCTCGTGAAGTGGCGTCGGCGCTAAGTGTGCTGGAGTACCTACAGCAGCCGATCGGTCACACGGACATCTTCGATGCTGGTGCGTCACGCGCTCTTGGAAGCCTGGATAGAGACTTCGGCCCACGACAAAAGGGAGGAAGCCGGGCAAGCATGGAAAGAGCAAAGCAGCAGAGGCATCACAATTCAGTTGGGGGGACACCCTGGCGACCTTTTGAAGCGGGGGAAGTCCAAGTTGCGGTTTCCAGATGGGCAAAAAACAGGAGCTGTGGTCCGGACGGATTCTCACATGAAGTGCTCAAAGCCATGCTGCAGCACCACCGCTGGGAACAAATCATGCTAGCAGAGCTGAACGACAGGCTCTTCAAAGGCGCCCATCTACACAGAAGTCGGCAAAGGTCTGACAGTACTACTGCAAAACATTTCGGAGCCACAAAGCCGGGGCCATCGACGCCCCATTACCCTTAGCTCTACCGTTCTCAAGCTCTTGGCACAATTGCTGTTGGGCAGAGCCAGCGACCACAGCAAATGAAGTGCCATGAGGATGCGTCCTATATTGAAATCTGCATCTTCCTTGCAATGGCTTTCATTGTCATAATTTGTCCAACCTCATGATTCGAGGGGAAACATCGCTGTATGTGGGAGTTGTTTTACTGGCTATCCGTTCTTGAATCCCCACACGGAACATCAGAAACCTTGATTTTCACCCAGCGCCGGGGGAACAGCAATACGCTGTGAACCTGATAAGACCGTGGACTCAGCTGCCGAAAGAAAGAGAGAGAGCGCGAGCGCGAGAGCACGCGAGCAGCCGAGCCCATCCACACAAACTGTTGGATGGGGTAGCTCCCAGGAGCGGGGAGCTGGGACTGCCAGCCCTCCATACCCAGGGCAAAGCAAAGCAAAAAGAAGGAGAGATACAGAGAGAGTTGAGTGGTTCGGTTTTAGTCCATTGTGTTCGAGTTGCAGTCTGGGTACGTGGGGACGATCCCGTTGCTGCTGACGCCTCCAAAGCCCCACGAAACTTGGGAGGCCCTACGGGCCGGGGGGACTAACATGCCCCTCTAACCTGAAGGAAGAAGAAGAGGAAGGAAGAAAAACCATAAGAATCCCCTAAATCTAAACGTGAAGTTGATGCCGTACCGAGCCAGCCGTGAGTCTGACCCGAAGGGTTCTTTGGAAGATGAACGGCAGATCAACGTACAGAGTTCAGCGAAGGGAAGAATGAAGAAGGGCCGCCCCAAAGCATGAGCGCCACTGACTTTGCCGGACTTTGCGGGGGACCTCTTTCGAGTTTGAACATCGAACGGAGCCTCTGTTCCCCGGCGCCGAAGCCATCGCGATCTCTTTTCAACTATGCATCGCCTCAGAATCGCCTTTCTGTGCCCTGTTTCTGAAACTGCCCGTCGGGGCATGCTGTGCGCCGTAACAGTTTTGAGACTCCGCAGTCTCTTCTGAGCTCCGTTCGTCAACATCTAAGGAACACTCGCGCAGTAGTTGTGGGGCAAGCGCGTGGGCAGGGCTGACTCCCCTGTCCTTATCGCATGCGAGAAGGGGGGAGAGAGAGAGAGAGAGAGAGCGGGTGCGCGCTCGCGCGCGGAGGATTCAGCTGGACCGCTGTTTCCTCCTGTCCCTGGAGAGAGAGAGAGAGAGAGAGAGAGAAAGATAGGGCATTTTGGCTCAAGTGCCACACCTTTGCTTACGGGTCTGTGACACCCCTTTGCATCGGGGAGGGGGGTGACTGGTTTACTCGGGGGTGTCTCCCCCTTGGAAGCCAGCTCACTCGACTCCTGCGGTGCTTGAGTCGTACGCCCGCCACATCTGGCTTAAGAGTTCTCCTCGTGCCGCCATCGAGCTGTACGTCGCGATCGTAGCTCAACGCGACCTCAACTTCGGGGTTGACCTCCGTGAGTTCGGTGACTTTGCCCCCGGAGGCAAACTTCCGTGGAGGTAGCTGGGTGAGGGATTGCCCGTACGTCAAGTTCGTGACAGTGGCAAGGACGAGAAGATAGTTATCCTTGCACTTCGTGAGAACATGGCGACAACAGGGGCATCCCCGTTACACCCTGGCGCAACCACGCCCCGAGAGTCTCCCTTACCTCGACGACGTAGAGGACCACCAAGTTGACCGGGGGCCTTCGGTGAGCTCTGAGCGGGGAAGTGAGCCTTTAGCAACGATTTTCCTTTTCTGGGACTAAACCCCGTCACCTGGCGCCGTACCTTTCCAAAACAACTTTTGTTTCAGGCACAGTGGTATGCATGTGTAACTCATTCTCTTCCTTTCAAGTAGTCTCTCCAGTCGCTTTTCCGCATGAACACGGGGGGACACCCGTAGGAAAACTTTTCCTTGTACTATATGACGGGCCGCAGGAGCCATCCATTTACCGATATGCCGTGCCTCCGGTCGATGCTCTAATTAACCAGCCACGTGCCTTTCACAGCTTCTTGCAGGGGAATTGCTTCCTTTAATTGACATGCTTTCATGCTTTCAGGGGAGCCTGCCTCTGCTGCGTCATGCGTCTTTTCCGAGGCCGCAGCAACTTACTAGGGGGTACCCTTCCTAAGCTGCCATCGTGTTGTGGTTGTTTTACTCTGCCTTTGTTATGCCGTCTTTATCCGTCTTTCATCCTGATTAAATAAACGGTCGGGGGCGCCGACGCACGCGGGCCATGGGAGCAACTCCCTGGCACAGCCCTGGCGAAAGAAAGAGAGATAGGGGGCAACCCCACCAACCCATCTGGGCATACAATAGACGGGCCGCTGGAGCCATGCAAACACCTCTATCCCTGAGCCTCCGCTCGGAGGCATGTTGCCACGCACAGTGCCATTCAGCTAGTGCACAACCTGATTTCTTTTCTACGCAGGGAGCATACCTCTTTGAGCTTCTTTTGACGTTGGAACTTCCTTGGAGTGCTTTGCTGTTTGTTACCTGTCTTTGTTCTGCTGGTCTCATCCCTGCAACCAGAAGGCAAATCACATTTTCCACCACCATTCGAGGGCCTACCGACCAGAAAGTTTATTACGTTGGGCATGCTTCCTTGTATCGTGCTTGCATGTCGTCAACAGGCGTAGTTGCCTTGGTGGTGTTGTTTTGTCTCTCCATTCCCTTCCACAACGGTCAGGGGCGCTGACGGGCAAGGGGAGCAATCCCCTTGTCCCTAGCCTTCCCTTCTCATCCTAGCGTTGGCGAAAGAAACAGACGGAGAGAGAGGCCCATAAGCTGGTTCCTTGTGCCATTGTTGCTTGTGTGGTTGATCCTGGATTCTTGCACTGCCGTGGATGTCCGCAGGGTCGCGCCCGTTCCCCAGCCCTGGCGAAAGAGAAGCAGAAGAGAGCAACCGTGACTGTTGCCCCAAGCAATCTTACGGCTCATTTGGAGGGCTGTTCACCGAGTGCAGGAGGGGAGATGTGTTTTGGGATTAATAAATGATTCAGACCTTATGCAGGAGTTTGTGACACGCCAGGCTGCTGGCAGGCTGCGACTTTGATTGTGCTGTGACATGCGCAGCCGGTCAAACCGAATCACAGGCTAATGCATGCAATCCAACCGATCTTCTAGCTGCTGCCGGAAGCAGGCAACTGACCCCAGCTGATGTGGACACCATTTGGGCCCAGTTCGAGCAGTACGAGCCAACGCGCATGACTTGGTGTGTCTTTTGATCGTTCCTTTTCAAGAGTGTTCCCTGCAACTGCCAAAGGCATGCTGCCAATGCCCGCGCACTGGTGCGCGGATCCAGTGCTGCGTCCGAGCCTCTGAGAATTTGATAGTTTGGGATGGCTCTGGCACTCTGTGGCCGATGGATATCACCTGCCTTTGCCTCTTTCGGACGGGTTTCCCGTGTTCTCCAGCTCGGAACTTCGTAGAGGACTTGGTATCATGGACACGAAGGGCCGGCCCTCCCAAGATGTCCCTCAGATCCAGATTGAGCCTGCGTTGTCCAAGGTCCAGCAGCAGCTCGCAGGCAGGATTCATGATCATGAGTGGAAACTCCTAGCCGACTAGCCAAGCATGTTCGGCGATGGTGTTGCACTCCTGTAGCAGTCCACGAGAGCAGGTCCCAAACTTGCACTGTCGCCCGACGTGGCTTCGGAATTCTCGGCTCTGCCATGGCAGGGCCCTGCGTCCTTCAGCAGCGGCACAGGGCCGACGTTCGTTGCCACGCAGGCGGCCGAGGCCCGGTCCCGCATGCCCCACATGCCCTGCTCCTCTTTGACGCCCTTGCGCATGGCGATGCTTTCTTTGAGCAAAGACACCCCTTCGCTGCAGGTTTGAGAAGGCTGAGACGCACAGATAGCGACCATCGCAGAAGGTTTTGACGTTCAGGAAGACGGGCTTGGCCATAAGCTATGCTGAGTTGGATGGAGATCAGATGACATTCTCGGATTCAGGATTCTCTGCTGCTTCTTAGGGGGACCCAGGACGAGAAGCTCGTTTTCTCTTGGACATTTCTTTCCAGCGGAGGCTTTCTGCACAGCCAGAAGCTCAGACCGCGCTTGGCGACACTTTTGCTGGGCCCCGGACTTTGAATCAAGGGCCTGGCCACTTTTCCCGGTGGACAGCCGTCCAGAATCCAGACTGAAGCCCTCCAGAGAGATGTCCCTTGGCAAATCCGGCCGAGAGGCCGAGAGCGATTGCCAGACATCTCTGATACAGAACATGCAATCTTGTTGCTGGCCCAGCAGGCGCCAGAGGCTCTGCTTGGAGAGGAGCGCAGGCAGAAGAACTCCCAGAAGCCCGAAAGACCAGAGCGCCGCACTCCCCTGTGCCACCGCACCCTGGGCTCTGTTGCCGCTTCTGTTTCACTGGCGCAAGGAAGCTAAGTCCGCTGCATTGGGAGAGTGAGACCTGATGGCGACGATCCCTGGACTCTCTTGAGACCTTGGCCTTGGGCCTTAGCCTTAGTTTAAATTCATGTTGTGACGCCTCCCAGCATAGGGCATCCGCGCCATCAGCAGTAGGACATCAGGTTAGGATCCAGAGGGCCTGGCAGTCTGAAGCTAGCTGCCCGACTTAGTCGTAATTCCTGCGGGCCTATAGAGTTGGGGCAGTTCCAGAAGTCAAGAGCAATACAGGCTGTAAAGGCACTGTTTGCGACCAGACCAGTGGGATGCTTCAGATGGCCGGGCCCGGGAGAGAAATCTTGGAACTCAGCCTTCACCCGGAGCGGGCCGGAGAATGTCGGAAAGCGGTACTGAGTCGTTGCACTTGGTAGAGGAAGGAAGGCTTTGACAAGATCCTCCGGCCACAGATGGGCCTGAAGGCTTCATGAAGCTCTCACGTGGAGGATCCAGTGGCCATGTAGCAAATGCAGAACCGCCCATCCGTGTTTATCAGCTTTTGTCGTCATGGCATTTGGTGCCGAAGAACTGACTCTCCCACGGCTGTTCTTAAAGTCTTTGTCGGCGGCACCACGCTAGACACCTCCGGAATCGCTAAAACGGCGGGCGGGCACAGGTAAGCGAAGCTGTAGCGGGGGGGGGGAGGACAATCGATGATGTCTTGGTCGATAGGGCATGAACAAATGTAGTGGCCGCAGCCATCGGGGACTCGACGCCGACTGGCAATTGCGCACGTCATCACTGCAACCTACCGGCGCATGCAAGGTGCATCGGAGGAAGGGGCGGAGGACCCCGCGGCGGCCCTCATGCTGGCAACGGTCCGAATGATTCGAAACTGGGTCGAATCATCCTTCAGCTCGGGCGAGGCGGCGCGAATGGAGCGCAAGGGTCAGCTCAAGGCCCGCTTCAAGGTGGAGCTGTCGCCGGAGATGTGGGAGGAGCTGCAAACTTTCGTAAAAGCCTCCTTCTCGTTGTCGGGCTTGCAGCTGAAGCGCCTGGAGCGAGGCGAGCGAGGTGAAGGCTCCTGCGTCGAGGTGGTCATGTCAGGGGATGCCCGCCAGCAGTATGCCCTCAAAAACCCTGGGGTGATCGTGAAGAAGGCGGTGACAGCGGAGACGCCTTCTGACGGTGCCCTCGAAGGATTCCGCACTCCGGCCGCAAAGCTTCCGGTGCACGAGCTTTCTACACCATGCAAGGCCCCATCGCAAAAGGAGGCGAAGCGCCGAACGGCGCCTGTCGACTCGGCATCGCCGAAGTCGAAACGCAGCAGGACCAAGGAGGCGCTGAAGATCCCGTCCGAGTCCATGCCGTCCATGCCGTTGCAGGATGTGCACGCACGCGAGGTGTCTCGGGATCTGAAAGGTCTTGTTGCTGCAAAGGAAGGGCTGGCTGCAGCAGTGAGTTCGAAGGATCTGCACGAGGGTGTCGCATGGCTGAAAGGATTGGGGAGAAGGGAGGTCGCTGCCGAGGATTTGGCAAAGACCCGCATCGGCCTCTCGGTGAACGAGTGCCGCAAGCAAGGGGACCCGTACATGACGAAGCTTGCAGACACTTTGCTTCAGAGGCACGCCGTAGGACTCCTGGGTTGTCATGCTAGGCATGGGCGACATGATGTCGCGTTGTTTAGTACCCTGGTGCGCGGCACGTCCAGGTGGAAGAAGGCCTGGCGGCAGGCCCAGGGGCTGAAGAGCTGAAGGGCAGCGACGGGGCCACCATGTGAGGGCCCGACGTCCAACAAGACGATGTGGGGCGATCCTCTACATGGGGGGTTTGTGCTGGATCCGCTTTCACTTTCGTGTCAGGAGGCCATGAGAGGAGTCGATGTGTTGCCAAGACTCCCATGACTCCCAAGGATTGAACTTGCTGGAATGTTGAAGTTTGGCAGGTAGTATGAACAGAGCATTGCAGCTTGACTGCAGAAGTGGCAGGCAGCAGGAGCCGTCCTATGGCCACTCCACGGAGGGTGGCTTGAATTGGATTTGCACATCAGATCAAAACAGGCTCCAGGTTCACAGGTGCTCGTGCTATTTCGTTTGTCCTGTCGGCGACAGGCTGTGAGGCCGCAACTCAGCCCTGCAGTTCAGGCTCAAGCCTCATAAGGCCATAAGGCTGTTCCAGGTCCCATGTGTCCCACGTTTGCATGGCGACGGGTGCTTGGGGCGGTTGTGTTCAGGAGTGCTGTGGTGAATATCCTGAAGCCACTGTTCCGAGACGAGCACTGCAAACCTCGATCGCAAGCATTCCAGGGCATGCTGATCGATGCTTAATGGAGTCAAGACAGAGTCCACTTTCGCCGGAGATGCGAGATGGACCTTTCTTGAAGGCCTTCTCATGTGTTGATGTCTGCGTCTGGCACGGAGCCCAGCTGTGGACACTACTGTAAAAATGTTGCGGTGTTACATGTTACGATGTTGCAACATCAGCTCGGTCAGCCGGCCTGTGAGTGTCATCTCTGCATCCTCCCAAGGCTCCACCACGAGTCAGCGTGGCTTCGTCACGCCGAATAGCGATGCAAAGCCGGGCCGGTGCAGCCGTGAAGTTCAGTCGCATAAAATACGATTGTATATGCAGGCTGACGGCAAGTGACCAAGCAGTGGCGGGCAGCCTTGCGAAAGCTGTCCAGGGCACAGCACAGATTGAGACTGTGAGAACCTGGGACCTTTGGCGGGCAGGGCCATGCAGGGCCATGCAGGGCTTACGTTGGATTCTGGTGAGTGTATATTTACGGGCTGCCGCCAGTG